TATATAATAGAGGGTTTGGGCCACTAAGGAAAACAAAACATCATTAACAATCAATCATGGCATTGTCATTACTTAAGCATAATGTACATGAAAATGGTAAACCATGTCGGATTCAAGTTATGATGAACAGATTCACAATAATTATTATTATATCGGTATAATATTATATGGTGTGATTGTGTAATATTATATTAACTTGAATATCAGTTTCTGAACACTCTTCTTTCTATTAAGGAGGATTAAATGATTAAATAAACAAACAACCATATTCTTTATGTAACATCACCAGAAATACAACTTCGACGAAATCACTGGCACAAAAGCGACGTTAAAACTGATTAGGTAAAAGGAGAAACACTGAAATGGAAACATAAAAGTAGCATGAAAATAAAAGTAGAGAAAATAAAGTCACAGTATCAGGAGACTCAAGGGCGTTCTGTTTTTCTAAAGATATCATAAGACACACAAGAAATACATGATAAACAATGTCAAGACCGTTAATAATTAAAGGCTTTATCTACGGAACTGGAAGAGAAACTAAAAAACAGGATTAGCCGACACGATTAGTAGACGGAAAGACGAAAAAAAAACTTAACGTAAATGAAAATAAAAATATGAGGAAAGAAAAAATGAAAACATACATTGGTCAAGACTATACATGCTGTCTTTGTTGCCAACTGATTTTTGTTATTGTTTTTTAGTTTGAGAAAAGAGAAGCGCGTTGGTGAAACAATGACCATTAAATTTCGTGCTCAGTTTAACCAAGACGGACAGAGAGAAACAAACATAGTAATAGTGGCACCCTCCAATCATCCGCATTTCTTTTTTTTGTTTTGTTTTTGGTAAGTGTTTTACGGCGCTCGCAACTGCATAAGGTCATAGGAGCGCACGGGTCACAATAAACTTTTTCAGTAGGCGGGAAATTTCGAATTTTGCCCGGGTGGCAGCCCAAGCCTACTTTTACTGATTTTTACCACCAAGGGATCTTTAACGTGCGCAACTTGCACACACGTTTCTTTAACTTTCAACTCAATGCAGTGCGCATGTAGTATAATATTCTCATACCTAAGGGAAGTTTGAGGTGTACAAAGCGAAGCACGTTGGAGAGATAAAAAGGGTCGTTTAGAGCAGGGGATGGCTTAATGGTTTGTTGTTTGTTTCTTTCGTAAGTGTTTTACGACTCTCGCAACTGCATAAGGTCATATGAGCGCGAGGGAAACATTAAACTTTTTCATTTGAATTTTGCCCG